GGGCGACGATGCCGAACTTTTGCGCGGCCCCCAATTGCACGCGGAAGAGCACGCAGTCGGATCTGGCCTTCTTCAGGTTCCCGCGGGATCCGGCCAGGTAAGCGGCGGGCGCAGAGCTGGCAGCCCGGGCCCACCTCCGCGGTGCGCCCTGTCTACTGCCGACCCTGGGCAGGCTCCGGGCTGAGAGTGGCGTGTGTGGGCACAGTCGTCGATCCCAGCCTTAGACCCAGGAGGAGAACGGGCCGCGAGCAGTGGGCGGGCGGGCACCCGGGGACTTCGGAGCACGTGCGCGCTTGAGGGTTCGGCGCCTAGGGCGCAACACCCGAAATAAGAGGCAACTGGGGCAGTGCGCAGGCGGGATAAAGTGGGTTCTCGCCCTGGTTAGTTTGCTGTGTGACTTCGGGTAAGTCGCTTTCTTCTCTGGGCTTTAGTTTCCTCAGATGTCAAAAGAGGGACTTGGATACCACCACCCCCGGACAGTTTCTTTTTTGGAGTCCGGCTACCTTCTTTGATCTCAAGTCAAGTCACAAATACTTCCTCCTTCGGCCTTGTTAATGGTTCATATTCCATCTCTCACCGTTACTCATTATCTTACTTTGTTATTGTGGAGATAACGGGATGTGGAGAGGAGAGTACATGTGAGGGCAAGAGAATTGGTATAGAAACCTCTTCCTTGAGGTAACCTATAGACCTTGACATGTATTTATACAGTAATAGCGCAGGGACTGTGTTTGAAAGGCTGAGGATTTTCCCTTGGCCTCTCGTTGATTTCATTCATGTCAGATCAACACTAATTATGTGTATTAGGTGCTGGAAATTCAGAGGTGAATGAGGCAGTGTTGCTGCCTGCAGAAAGCTCACAGTCTATTAAAGAGGCAGATGTAAATGAGCGATTATAACATGCTACTTAATAGATCCACAGATATTTATTGCAGGCCTACTATGTGCTAGGTAGGCATTGTTTTGAGCACCGGGAGTGTACAGATGAACAATCGAGTCCCTGCTTTCATGTAGTTTACATTTTAGTGGGAGAAAATAGACAAGTAAATATACAGTGTGTCAGATGGTGCTAAATACTATATAGAAGAAGCACATGTTGTGGGGGTAGGAAAATAGTGGCTGGGAGACACAATTGTTATTTTAAACACGTAATCAGAGAAGGCCTCACTAAAGTGAATTTGCGCAAAGACCAGAGGTAGGTGAGGAGGCCAGACTTCGAGATAGCTAAGGGAAGAGCATTCCAGTCTTTAGAAACAGTAAATGTAAAGGCTTGTTAGAGGTACAGCCAGAGGTCTGTGGACCTCTAGAGCTGGTTTAAGAAAGGAGAGAGAGAGAAAAGATTAGACTGGAAAAGCATGTGTGTAGGGGGTGGGTTAGGGGTAGGTTGTATAGGACATTGTAGGCCATGAAAAGCACTTTGGGCATTTATTCTAAATGAGATAGGAAGTCATTTAAGGATTTAGAGCAGAGAGACATACTTGAAACAGAACTACTGGCCTCTCGTTAAATAGATTGTAGGGAAGTAAAGGTAAGAGCAGGAAGACCAGTTAAAGGCAATTGTAATAATTCAGGAAATAGAAGAGGAGGAGATAAGTTTTAATGGTTTAGATGGAGGTTGTAAGAGAAAAAGAGAAGTCAAGAATGACTCTAAACGATTTTTAATCTGAACTTTTACTTAGCTGTGGAAGACTGGGAGGAGCAGATTTGCTGGAGGAATATTAAAGATTTGGTTTGAGACACCTGATAGACGTTCAAGAGTAGATAGATGCCTTCATACGCTATCCAGAAATGAGTGCAAAATGGCCCATATTTAGATCAGTGACCTAAATATTTATGAGGTAAAACCATTAAAGATATACAAGTCTGGCATTTAGAGAATTCCAGACTGGAAATTGTAAATACGGATGTTCTCAGTTTATAGAAGGTATTTAAAGCCATGGTACCAGGTAAATAAAGGAGAGTTAGTCTGCGGATTGAGCACTGGGACATTCCTGGTATTTAAAATTCAGGGAGATAAGGGAGGAACTAACTCAGGAGAGTGAGAAATAGCTCTTGAGTTCTATAGGAGCAGAGAAAGGGAGCATCTTAATCTGACTGGGTCTTACCTCAGTAAGCATTATCTTCATTTTACACATAATTTAGCCCAAGGCCATTCTTGGGAGTATATTTCCTTGCCTAATGAGGGCACCGTTAGTCAATTCTGGACCACACATCATTTGTGTCCATATGTAGTGAATGCTGTTTTTATTACACTCTTTAGTGGAAGGTCTGACCTGTAGGGGCTTAAAGTCTCAGGTTTGGAAGTTTTTAGATCTAGTGCAATATCCCTTGAAATGCTGGAGTTCCCTCAATAGTAGTGGCCTTTTAACTTTTTTTTTGGTCATTGTTCCCTTTGAGACTCTAACATAAGAACTCTTACTTGAGAAGAGACAGATACAATTTCACATTCCACTCTCAAGGTATTTATGAACCCTTTAGGGACCTCTTGCATTCTTGACAGGTAGGGCTTTGCTAAAAAATTTCCAGTGATGATGATTCTCTGCTTTGTGGGAGGACACTTGAGGATTCTGGACAGCTTTGGCTGTTATTTCTTCCTTGTTTGGGGTGGAAATATGCCTCTCTCTAATTTATGCTTTGGAGGTCCTAATTTTGCCCCCATGGTCACACTGAGCAAATCTGCACTCTTTTCTATGTAAAAGCCCTTTGACTCTTTCAAGACCAAATTGTGAACTTTTCTTAACTTTTTAAAACATCTTTATTGAGATATAATTTACATACCATACAGTTCACCAATTTAAAGTATATAATTCAGTGATTTTCAGCGTATTACATTATTATTTTTTTTAATTTGGTAAAATATATATAACAAATTCGCCATTTTTATCATCTTTAAATGTATAAATTAGCGGCATTAATTACATTCACATTGTTATGCAGCCATCATCACTATGTATTTCCAAAGCTTTTTCATTACCCTAAGCAAAAACTCTGTAACCATTAAGCAGTAACTCTTCCCATGAATTTGTTCTAGGTATTTCATATAAACGGAATGTCCTTTTATATCTGGCTTATTTTGTGTAACATAATGTCTTCAAGGTCTTAACTTTTTATCCAAACCAAATCTTATACTATAGGATTTCAAATTCTACTGTGTTTGACAGTTTTTTTCCCCACCACGCCTAGAGTTAATTATAAAAAAGTAGTTTCCAGAGGTGTTTATTGAATTAATAACAGTATTGTAAGGGCTATTAGTTAGAACTAGCTTTTTCTGAAAATGGGTTGTAGGGAAGGCTGACAGAAGGTCACATTGCTAACTTATCTTTTCAAAAGTTAACTAACATTTTTTACTAACAATAAAGATAAATACATTTAATGCTATTAAATAGTACATTTTCCATGTACATTGTTAGAAACTGCTACTTAGGAGTAAATTACAATTCAAGAGTGTAATTGATAAAGGGCACTGTAGAATTTCATACCATAATAGCGCTTCTTGCCTTGGAAAAAGTGGCAGTATAATATGCTCTTCCTTTCTTCCTCTCTCTTTTCTTCCTTACTTCCTTCCTTTTAATATAAAATAATGGAATAAACTCACCTTAGGGCAGTGGTAGGGAGGCCATAGATTACCTAAAATTAAAGTAAAAAAACCCCCAAAACTGTTTAAACTTGGATTGCTCCAGAGTGGCTTGACTGTTGCCAAAGCTTGGCAGGAAACCTGGGGGCAGTTTACAGTGGCTCATCCCCAGACCAGGTGAGAAAGTACAAGTTGACCTAATAAATTGCTCCTATTAGAGTGAGTTGAGCATTTGGATCCTCTTCCTCAAGCAGTTAGTACGTGGTGAGGTCCTCCAAGATCTTTTTAGTAATTTAATCAAAAGTAATTGAAATTTGATTTATTCCACTTTGTAAAATGTAAAACAGTAGTTTTCCAGGCACTCATTAGGGTCTGCAAGACCCTTTCAAAGAATCCACAAGGTGAAAACTTTTTATAATGGCACTCTGACATTATTTGCCTTTTTCATGCTCATTCTCTCAGGAGGATACAGTGGAGTTTTTCAGGGGCTACATAACGTAAAATAACATCATTGCTCTGGTAAGTTGTGTATTGTATTTTCTAAAATTTTGTAAGTATTATTCAGATGCAGGTGTGTTTAGTAGACATTTTCTCAGTAATAAATGAAATAAGCCTGCTACTTAGAGGAAAACAACTGATACTCAAGCAAAAATTAAAATTTTGGAAAGTTTATATATACTACCCTGATTTTGACAGTTCTCTAATACTTAGACTTTTCTGATGAAATCAGTGGTGATATTATAAATGTGACTTTTAAAATATATTGTATAATGAAATGCATTACCATTCATGGTTTTACAAAGACATGCATGGGTAAAAGCTCTATTCAAAGTACAATATAGACCAATAGACTTTAATGTAACCGTCAGAGTGCGATAAGGCACATTGGTCTGGTTTCACACATTTCAACTAATCTTTAAAAAATCACCACTTGTGGAGTTTTG